TTGATTCAATATCTGGCAGAGTGTTATTGTTTAACACTTTTCACAATGTTTAAACATTTTTCTCATTATTTTCATATTTTGCGATACTCAAAATTTAAAAAAAAAACACAAAAACTAACAGTAATTAAGATTTGTAAGAGTGAACTCTAACCATTTAATTATGGTTTAGTGAGGCAATACTTATTACACATACCTATACTTCTTACATAATTACTACCTGTGAGCTATGGCGAAGGGCAAATTGAAAAAAAAAAAAACACAAATACGTACTTTAGATAAATACTCAAATGATTAATTAAATATAGAAAAAAAAAAAATTATTGTATTTTGGTAAATAAAAAGTAAGTAAAAATATAGAACAGCAAAAATTTAAAGATCATGACTCCCATGAGAAGAAGTTTAAATTACGTTATGACCGATGTGTAACCATAAAAAATACACGCCAATATCATCATTACAGAACTCTTAATAATACATCACTCGAGTGCAAAGTTTTCGTCAAAGACATTAAAATCGTTACCAATAAAGTTAAAAAAAAGAAATAAAGCAATACGTATAAGTTATAAGAATTAATTTAAGAATTATTTAACTTCTTTGTTTTTTTATTTATGAAAAAATATTTAATTTGTTGAAATAAAATTAATCATAAAATAACGATATTTTTAATTAAAATATTATTAAAAAGTATTTTCCTTATTTATAATTACTAAGTAACTCTTAAGATAAGTCAATGACGCGCGGTAGCGCGCCATACCGGCAGCGCTGACCGTCCGTCATACAATTTTTTTTTTGCCTAATCTAATCGCGATCAGTCAAATTTTTTTGCGGATTTCGTTACTTTGATGTTTATTGCAAAATACTAAAAAAAAAATTTTTTAGTTTTTTGAGGGAGAAGTCCTTAAAATTTTCATTTCTTAACTTAAAAGTTAATTAACAATTTGAAAAAAAAAATTATTTAAATTCATTTTGAACTATAACTCCTGAAAATTTCATTGAAAATCACCAATAGTTTTCAAATTATAAATTTTTTAACTAAAAGTAGTAAAAATTTTCAATTGAAAAAAAATTGTTGTTAAAATTAAAATTAAAAAAAAATGAGCGGGGGATTACTTGTTCATGATGACTACTTTGTGAAAAAATACTCACATTCAAATTCGATGATCAAGTGGAAAATGGGGGTCCACTTGACGTGTTTTTACTCTAATGGATATATCTTACAATATTTATTGGTGTGAAATAAAGCTATAACACTAATATTTTTAATTTTTCTTATAATAGTGTGAAAATGGGTGAAATCGGATGATAACCTCGCCCACTCCCCATATAATGATTTTGTTAAAAACTATTAAAAGTGTGATAAATCAATAACTATATGCGTCAGAGACATTAAATTTTACACCCAGGATGGCCCAAAAGGGCTTTATAGTACCCGGTATCAAAATTGAACGCTGGTTATAGCACCACCCACTTTTAGATGAAATTACATCTCACCTGTTTGATCCATTTCTACCAAATTTAATTGATAACACTCCGATGATATTCCCATGTCAACAAATAAACCGCTTCTTAGGAAGAAAAACACATGGGCAAATTATCAGATAGATATCTCTAAAGCTTAAAGTAAAAAGATTTTATAAACTTTTTATTTTGTGTTGCCAACAAAAAATAAAAAGTATTAAAAACATAGGTAAATTGTAACATTTTTAGATTAATTGCAATTTATTATTCACTTTTATTAGACGGAAAATATACTGCTAACATATTGTGTAAAATTCCTTATTTATTGCGTCATTAAACAATTTTGCAATATTATTACTCCAATGAGAACAAGTATGAAATAATGCCATTAAACGTTGTAGGCTTTTTACAGCAATTTATTACTCTTTAATTAAGTACATAATAATGAGGTTGCTCATAAAGTTAGATCATCCACTATTAGCTGCTTGTTTTTAAACATTGTACTTTAGAACTGAATGAGAAAGCGTTATTATATGTAACATATTTGTCAGGCCCTTAGGTTTCACCTTACTATAACAGCCGTTACAGCCACTTCAATAGCTATCGCTTAACCGAGTACATTTGTTAATTGTACGCTGATTTGTAGTTTAATAGTAAATTGTGTGCACCACATCATATTTGCTGTTATACACGAGTTCTTCGCATCGCCACTCCGCTGTTTGCAAAAGGTCGCCACTTTTCTCTTAGTAAAAATGTAGGTAGCAGTGGAAGCAACAATAAAGTGATATTCTACGCCATTAAAGTGGTATAAGCGATCCTATCTCTAATTGATTATACCAGTAGTTTGTTCTATTCTTCACACTAAAGGTCACTTATATCATATATTCTAAAATATGTCCGCTTTCTCGCAGAATATTATCTTATCAGTCCTGTAATCTATTTATTAATGAAATAACCGTAAATGTTGTCTCATTGATAACTTAAAGTATTGTAACTGAGCAATTAATTCTGTCTATAAAAATGAGACGTCTTTGCGCAGCGTAACTGTTCTTATATCTAAAAAACTTGAAAGTGCTAATTAGGTATTGTAACAAATACTTGTACTTGAAAGTGCTAATTAAGTATTGTAATAAATACAATGCGACAACGTCATATTTTAGTTAAAGACAAATCTGAAAATAGAATTTGTTGGAAATCTTAAACTGACACTCTCTATTACAATTCTAATTTTTTTAAGCTAACTGGTGACGATATAAAAAAATGCGTCGCTCAAACATTTTTAGAATAAACTAATAACTACAGAAGAAACGATACCACAACTGCCTAGAAGCTTACAATTATGAAATTTATGAATTTTTTTCTTGGGCGCGCGGAAGCTTCTGTCACGACTTTTATGACAGTCAGCATACTCATGAATTCTATAAATTTTTTTGCTCATTTTGGTTTTAAGGAAATAACTAACTTTTCGAATTTGCAAAACTGTTGCACATTTTCGAAGAAAATTTTTAAACAAAGGCACGCATGGTAAACCCAGTGCCATCACGGATTAAATAGCAGGAAATGACAAAGTGTTAAGCTATGCAAAAATATAGTTAATATTTGCTGATTAGGTATTTTCCAAAGCGGGATTTTCCAACTTTTTAATACCATATTTACAGTATGATTTGTCTTTTGCTTCGAAAGAGGCATCATTGTCTATGATAACTGTAAATTGCCGCTAAATTTCTTTTCAGCATTTTTGAAGATCTGGAAATAAAACAAGTACCGAAGGGCTAATTCGGGTGCAATTTTATACAGTCGCAAAGATCAAAGCCGTGGAAATACCTTCAGGTGTTGGCAAAACTAACTAACTTATATTAAACTAAGGAAAGTATCGCTCTGATTTCATCCATTTAGGGCAAGGGGATACACTGCTATTAGAAAGAGATTCCTTCAAAATTTCATTAAGATTTCTAACATCACAGGTCGATCGATATGTTTGGAAAAAATCACTCATATGCACTGAGGCCTCCATATTTTATGCTGAATTGTCGCACTTTAAGTAGTTTTCAATATAAACGTTATGTAGTGAGTGGGCGTGATTATTATCCGATTTGAAGCAAGTTTGGTTGAGTTAGCTGTAGGAGTTTGGCAGATACGTACATTTAACATTTTGGGGGGCGAGGCCGTGCCAATTTTAAAATATTTTTAGCCCAAATGCGTATTTCTCTACTGCGTTGCGTTGCGATGTATCAAATTGCATTTTTTGTATCTTAAGTTAGTGCTTAGTCATGATTCTTTATATATTTCCGTTTAACTACGAAACATACGGATTAGATACTGTTTGAACTTTTGAACCTGTCTGATATTTACCATATTTTCATAGACATAGAGTTTCTATGCAGGTGGCTTACGTAACAAGCTATTATTTACGATTATTTAAAAATTGCTGTCTGATAATTCTCTATTACAGACGCAGTGATTTTTAATTATGAGGATTAAACAAAATGACACACTTGAATTGTGATAAAATGTTGATAAAATGCCTCTCGCTAAATGCGGTTATGCCGAGTTCGAATAATTTTAGTGTTGGTAAACGACCGTCGCAGAGGCTATTTAAACCAACACATTAATTTAGTTAAGTGCCTACATTATTTCTATAGATTATGTCTGATGGTCTAGTCTAGGGCCAGAAGGTCTAACTATTAAGAGCGCAGGACGATCAAAATTTGTCTAACTATATATTGTTATATTGTTGTTATATCTATCCAAGAGACATATAAAAGCAATCGAGGGTAATCTTAAAATTTTAGGAAACTAGAAAGTATTTCCTGGGCATTATACTTTGATTATTAGAAATTTCAACTTTTGTTTATACTTTAAGTTAAAACTTCGCTGCGTCTCAAGAAAAAAAAAAAAACCACAGTCGGGGGCTGCAATTAAAAAATATCAAAGGTTAACAAAATTAACAGCAGCAGATTTGAACTTGGATCAAGTAAATTTCGTATGTGTAGAGTATTTGTGAGACAAAAATATGATAATGTTTTATATTTTTTGGTGCGTTTATAGAGTAGTACACGTAGTGACCCCAATATATCGAATTAGAAATTAAAATTTATTTTAAAGTTGTTCTTTCATAAAAATAGTTTATTTCGTTCTTTTACTTCAGTGGATCGATTAATGATCTACAGTTAATTGTATAGTATAGAACAGATGAACATAGATGGTCTGAATCATTAGATAGAATGGTCTGAATCATTATATAAATAGCATTTTTTTTTTTCAAACTCTATTGCAAAAAATCGCAAGTTTTTCTTCAATAATATTAAAAATTTCACTTTACACACAACATCCCTCTCTTGCTGCTTAAACACTTTTGCGGTAGCTGCAATAAACCATATGTGTATTAATTTTCATACCGATCGAGCCTTGTTCAAAAATTTTCCCACTTATCAAATAACAGTCGAACACTTGTAATGCATTATGTAAAAATTCATATATATATAAGTATTGTATTTATATGTTACATATATCGTCACTTGTGCAACCACCACTTGACCTACCTGAAATGTGTAGATGAACAAATGAAATGTCGGTGGTATTTGAAAGAGCGTAAGCAGAAATGTCCAAATCAATTGCCATCTGCCATGATGTCCAATAAAATTCGAGATCACATCCGCATCGACATCTTGACTCAAATCGCCGACTTTGCGTGGTGGCAGGCCTTCATTCAACACTGAATCCTTTTTTAAGTCCTCCGAGTAGCGACGAAAATCTAAAGCGATTACGCTGATTTCCGGCGTATGCGGCTTTGGATCGCGATAACCGCCATATAAATTTGTTTCGATGCTACCGCGCGAATTGCTGCCCTTCAAATTGCAGTCGAAGTTCAGTGAGCCACGACGTAGGACACCGCTCATTTTGTAGCGTTTGGAATTGTATGTGTTTATGAATTAAGAATTTAGAATTATTTTCTAAATTTAATATTTTTATAACAAACGCGCACTTCACTTTTAAAACAGTTTCTATTTTTATTTCATTTATGTATATACTTTTTTTTTTTTGTTTATACTTTTTTGATTTTTTTTGATTGAAATTTTGAAATCATAAAATATTTTTCCGCAGCAATAAAGTAATAAACGTCCGCTTTTTACAAAATCAAGATAAAAATGCACCTTCAGCCCTTTTGATTTGTTGATAGCGTGTATTTCATTACACCGTTGTTCTTTACCGTATTTCGCGCTGTAGCGGTCTAATTATATTTTATCAACTGTCTTGATATTATACTACAAGCTAATCAACAAAAGCGCCAACGCTATTTAACATGTATATTTAAATTGCTTTAACAGTGTGCTGTAATTAACAGTGAAACTTTTGGGTAGCAATTGCAGATAACAGTAGTTGTTAGCATTGGTCAACAACAGCAGAAAATGTTAACACTCTCTGCTCTAACATTTCAACCGCGCTGTTAACTGAGTCTGCTAAATTAGAGAAACCATAATAATGTAGATTTTTATTTTATTAACATACTGTGAAATTATTTCTTATATATTAACCTTATTTCTTAACATTCTTAACATGCTCTGTATTAACATTTTTCGCTGTTTTATCTGTATATTAACTCGCTGTTATTAAATGCATTTCTGTTTAGTTTACTGTTAATTGCATTGATCGTTAGAGCTTTTTGTGCTTTGCTTGGCAACTGTTGCCAGCGTTTATTAATCACATTTTCAAAATGAAAAGAAAATTCAAAGTTTTTAGAGATAGGAATTTGTATGTAAGTATGTATGTGAACACTTCGTTAATTTTTAATTTTCCATATCAACAGAAAGCACGATCGATTGTTAATGTGCTTTGCAGATGTTTAGCAAGTGAAAAAATGACATATGAAAATATGATGCTTAAAAATGATATTTTCAAAAAAGAATAAACTTCATAATTGAGATATACAGAAAACATCTAAAACATTGAAAGCGATTGTATTCGCTTGTCTCTTTATTTAATTCTCATCCATGTTACAATCAATAAATATTACGTTTGTAACATTTGCAATCAGTACTTCGCTTCGAAAGGTCCTCAAATTTTTTTGTTTAAATGTTAAGTTAGGAGAGTATAAATAAAATGTTCTTACTAAAATGATTATTTAGTTTGTAAAAATGTAAATTGTAAGGTTTGTCATGTATGTTACAAGATGTATATAGAGTTGTCTCCTTAAAATATTCTTATCTTCTTATGTAAATAGTATCTATCTCTTGATAGTCGGGAAAAAAATAAAAGTTGACAGCCCAGCTGTAGTCTTTGCTGCGTGTGTCGTTCCATTTGCGATTTAAGTTTTGCACAATTCACATTGAGGTTTTGCTATCAAAAATTCAGAGAAACTTGAGAATTTTCGCTTAAAATTACACCTATTTTTAATGGTACATTTCAAGATGATAATTTTTGACCACTTTTCCTTGAATTGATCTAAATATTGTTTATATTAAAAGTAGTAATATTTATATCGTTTTTAAAAATATGCGCCAATAAAGTCCCCTACCATACGTCCAAAGCACACAGCTGATTAACACCGATTGAGAAATAAATAACATGACTTTCAATAAGTTAAGTTTCTTCGACGATTATTTTGCAAGACATAATTTATGTATCTTAATATATTTAAGTTGTTTAATGGCCCCCCTAGCGGGCTACACTGGCTTCCGATTTGATTAGAGTGTGTATTTTATGTATAGGGATCGGTCAAGCAATTATGTTTAATAGATTTAAAAACCAAAGGTCAAACCCCGGAATTTATTATATTGTACATATAGTTCGAAAACGGTAAAATTAAGTAGTATCAAAATCAAAATCAAGATCTCAGACAATATCAGCATATGCTCATATACAAAAGTAGTTTTACTTCGAAAACTGAGGTTTACTTTAAAAATTACTTCGCGATATTGTGATACTAAAACCTGCCCTACATACAAATTTAAAGCTTGAGGTAGGTTGTAATTTAAAGCACACGTTCACACATACATATGTATAAAATGAGTATATCAATATTTTTATTCATTTTTAAAAAGCGCTGCTTAAAAGACCTCAATTAAAAGCTTTGCTTGCCGCTGCAGCGCTTGCTCATTTATGCGCTTAATTGCAAATTCACTCCAATATTTACTCCCATTATTACATCAACTTAAGCTTGAAACAGTTTGAGTATAATAATGTCTGTCCGCAAAGCATTTTTTTACTTACAGAGGTGTGAATAAATTATACCTAATGACTATTAAACAAAATTGTTTAAGTGGTATTTTATAGCCGTTTATTATACTCTTGCAGTATGTTGTTACAGAGGACCATTGTCACGCCCACAAATTAAAAATTACAAATTAATATAAAACTGTAATTTAATAAAGTAGAAAGGTCGCTCACCGATTTCAATCAAATTTGGTATGTGAGGTTACCCAAACATTTCTATTAGATACTGCAAAAACGGATAGCACCACGCCTAATTCCCATATAACAAATTTTTAAATTCCGTCTGATTCTTTCACAGAAGAAATATATATATTAGAATAAAAGTTTGCATAAATATCATACATTAACTTGTGCTAAAAATGGGTAAAAGCAGGTCAACAACAGGTCCCTTAGCAGTACAAGTATATTGATTGACCAAAATATTCTAACTCAGCTATTTAGTTGTTTTCTGATTTTATCAGTTTTGTACGAACAGCCGCTGGTAAAGAAAACATGCGATAACTTAGTCCCGTTATAAGGAAGGCAATTTAATTTATAATTTGAGTTTGAATACGCATTGACACCAAATTACAGCTTTCAATAACTGAAATATCGAATAATGCAGAAGTAGTGTGGAAAAAAGGGCTGTGGGTAGTGTGCTGGTTTGGGGAAACATCTCCTACTATGGTACTTGCGAACTACAGTTTTTGTACACTAATATACTTGTAAGTGCAAAATCGTATAAAAACGTACTGGAAACTGCTTTTCAAAAATTTGTTTGGAAATTTGCACGACTCGATATTGCATCGATTCACATTGCGCGGGCGTTGACAAGTTTTGGATTGAAGAACAAAACGCTGATATAAATCGTTGGCCGCCTAACACACAGGACATCAATATTCAGATTTCGAAAAAAATTGTTATATAAAAAAAATGGTGAAGCACTTACTTTTGTTTTATTTAATATAAATTTTATTCTTTAATAATCGCTAAGAATACTAAATAAATAATAAAATAATAACAAAAGATGCTTCCTTAGTTTTGATATAAATTAACTAAAGCTACTTAAACTCGGGTTTTGGTAACCATATGAAGCGCGCTTTATATAATATATGTATATATAAGGTTGTCAAATATCTCCCTTCCGGATCGGATTTAGTGCGCCGTTTTGTTCGATGATCTGTTTCCATCTAGACGGCACCTTCATAATACCTTCCTCGTAGAAGCCCCCCTCCTTATTTGCGAAGAATTCGGACAGCCACTTTTCAGAAGCCTCTTTTGAGTTCAACTTCACACCACCAAGGGCATTCGCCATGAACAGGAACAGGTAGTAATCACTTGGCGCTACGTCCGGGCTATATGGTGGATGCGATAAAACCTCCCATCCGAGCTCCCGTAGCTTCTGACGAGTCATCAACGAAGTGTGTGGTCTGGCGTTGTCCTGGTGGAACACTACACCCTTCCTGTTGGCCAATTCTGGACGCTTCTGGTCGATCGCCTGCTTCAAGCGGTCCAGTTGTTCGCAGTAGATGGTAGAATTAAGCGTCTGGCTATATGGGAGCAGCTCATAGTGGATGATTCCCTTCCAATCCCACCAAACACACAGAAAAACCTTCCTGGCCGTCAATCCCGGCTTGGCCACTGTTTGGGACGATTCACCGGCCTTCGACCACGACCGTTTTCGCTTGATATTGTCGTATGTGATCCATTTTTCGTCGCCAGTCACCATCCACTTCAAGAATAGGACGAGTTCGTTCCGTTTCAGCAGCATATCGCAGGCGTTGATTCGGTCCAGAAGTTTTTTTTGCGTCAAATTATGCGGCACCCAAACATCAAACTTTTTTTTGTATCCAGCCTTCTGCAGATGGTTCAAAATGGTTTGGTGATTAACTCTAATCTCATGGGCGATGTCACGAGATGCCATATGCCGGTCTAACTCGATGTATTCCATGATTTGATCGGTATTTGTCGTCACAGGTCTTCCGCCGGCTGGCTTATCCATGGTGTCGTTTTGTACATAGCCGCGAAATTCAAAAGACAAAAAAGCGGAATGGAGATATTTGACAACCTTATATTTATAGTATATAAAAATTAAATAAAGGTATTTCATTTCATTGTGTCAAATTCAATGACAGTCGTAGTCAAGCCATTTAATATTGTTTAAATTTAATTTGTTCAGCAAGTCATAGAATTTGTCGGGATCTGAACCATGGTATGGTGAATTCAATCGTATTCATATCAAAGTCGTAGATCGCTCCAAGGCGAATCTCGTGAAAGTCGTCCAAAGTCAGTTGTTGCTTCGGAAATTGTTATTGTAAGATCGTCATGTGACCTATCCTAAGAGTGAGACAACTATAGACATTACTGGGACCAGCATACATTGACTTTTGCATGAATATTTTATAGTAAACAAAAATGTTTAAACCGTACGATAGCAGTGCATCGAAACACATCTATAATTTCGTGACATGTGATGAATCGTGGATTTACGCGTATGAGCCCGAAAGTAAACAGCAGTCGATTGTATGGGTGTTTCAAGATGAGCTCAATGGTCTATAGAACTTAATGGAGAATATTTTGAAACACAATATAGCGATTTTCGATTATAAATATTTGTTTTTATTTTATAATCCCGAAATATATAAGGCATCTTTCGTAGGTACATTAGGAAAATGAAAGAAGTGTAAGGAGACCTAAGTTTTTCTGACAACTTACCTCGAATAATGTCATCTTCAGAAATGAAATCACATCTAATAAATTTGTTTCAACATTTCACTTAATCATTTATTTCACATTACTTTTGGCCTTATTAAGACAAATATACAACAGAGAAATAAATAACTAGATTTTTATTTTGCTCACATAATTACTTTACTAATATTATACACATACATATGTACTTAATTACTGCTATTTACTAATTTGACACAGGTTATTAAGCTTTTTTATGAATTTTCCATATAATTGATTCTGTTGCTACACGTTTGATGTATTTTATAAGAAATATGTATAAAAATATATGAAAACGTTATACACACACAAACTTATTCGTTACTTTAATAAGTACATACAAATAATAATTGCATTACTAATAATTAAGTGAGTTAAGAATATGTATATTTACATATGTATGTATTCGTTAATACATATATGTATTTATATGTAGGCATATTTGCGTTGTCAAATTTTCACAACAATTATTTCCAATAGGTTGCCATATTTATAAAAATTTTGCTGTTTCGTTTTCTATCGGCGGACTTTGTTGTTTAATTTTTCAAATAATTTATTATAATAAATATAAAACGTAAGTACTTTACGACCACTACGTAACTAAATCATTAATTATTTGGAGAAATTAATTATCAAGAAGAAAATTTATATAAATGCAATAAAAATTTGTTAGTTCAAATTTGGCATTTTAATTTTTGCACACAAGAATCAAAAGAAAAAAATTGTATACATTATTTTTTTTACTAAAAACTTTATTTATGTAAAAATAATAAAAATATAGTGTATATATGTATCTAAACAAATTTTTTTTTTTTTTTCAAAAACAAAAAAACAAATAATAATAAATTTATTGTATGATACTTTGTGTCCAATTGACTGTGATATGCTTGCTCACTGAGTAATAATATATGTATTTTTGAATTAAAAGTACTTCTCTATAAAATACATACATACATTGTAGTAATTATACATAAACACATAGTTTCTTATTACTATATTTATATTATATTTTTTTTAATGAAATTTTCAGTTAGTGTGGAAGAAGCATATAGAAATACATACAAACATTTAGATACACACATATACAAATACAGTACTATAATAAATATCTATTTATAGTAAAACTGCATATTTTTAAGATGAAATGCAAAAGGTGGTATTCACGTGCTCGTAGAAATTATTTAAAAAAAATTTTTCAGATATTTCTAGCTGACAGCAAAACTAAAGTTGAAATTGAATTAAATGGTTATTTTTTTTTGTACTTTTATTTTAGTTTTCTCTTAACAAAATTCTCCGCTGAGTAAAAATTAAAATATTTTGTATAATACGACTAATTGAAGTGGTATTAAATTAAAAGTAAATACTTCTTATATATTTGTAATTTTACTACCACAAAAAAAGTATTTTTAACACTGTGAATACCCTTTCTTTCTATTTTTTCTGTGTATTGCTTTAGTTTCAAGGGCTGCATGTAGAATATTTTTTATTTTATGTTATTTTTCATACATATTAGTACCAACTTAAAAAACTCTCTTGCCTTTTCTGACTCGGCTAATTCCGCACGTATGCGGATGGCGCCCCTCGCGTCGGTTGGGCGGGAGGAGGGTAATCGTTGGGTTATTATTATTAATTATTACAATATTTTCTTGCAATTTTTATATTTCAAAAGCATTTTTTTAGTTCTTATGATTTTAGAAAATAAAAAAATATGTTTTGATTCAAAAAACGTTATTTTATGCACACAATTTCTTTAATTGACCGTACCTTCAATTTTTCTTGTATATTTTGGCACTGAAATTTCATGCTATAATTAATTGACAATTCAAACTTGGAATTTATTGCAGATATAGCTATTTCTGTTATAGTGATTTTTGTTGTAAACTTTTTATATTTATGTCATCCACGAAGTTCAGAATACGAAAAAATTACTTAGATATTAAAAAAAAATAAAAATAAGAAATACAATAAAATAGTTAAACACAATTAAAAAAAAATTTAATTTACTTTTTATCGTATAACTAATGTTGTTGAATATAATTGTTATTCGATTAAATACTTGGTAGGCCAATAAAAAGAAAAATAATAAATAAAAAGGAAAAAATAAAAAATATACAACGAAACAATATTTGAAAAGTAAGTAAATAAAGATAAAAAATAAATAATTAAAATTATATAATTATAAATAAAATAAATTAAACTTATCGAAAATAAACGAATTACAAATATATAAAAATTTACAATATTATATAAAAAATATATTGAGTAAAAAGAAATATTTGCATGTTTTAACTTTTGTATGGAAAGTAGAATAAATAAAATAAGAATAAATTTATTCAAATCAAAATTTGATTTGTTTTTTTTTTACAAAAATTATATCAGTAAATGAAAACAAATTACTCAAAGGAAAACTAGAATATATGCATAAACCATTAGTACAAAATGAAACTAAAAGTAAATAAATCATAGTAAATTAAAATTAAAATTGAAAATAAATTATAAATATAAATTTTACATTATTACAACATATATTTTTTTTTAATTTTAAAATCCTAATAAGAATAATTTTTTCCGATAAAAAATAAGTTTTAACTATATTTAATTTGTATTTAGTTTTTTCTGTGTTAAAAACATTTAACATTAAAAAAATATACACAAATACGTCTATTACAATAAATATAATAAATTTAAAAAAAATATGTATGTATAAATAAAATAAATGTTTCAAAATTTAATTTTTTTTTTTTAATATTTTTATCAATAGTTTGTTGAATTTGTCATACACAAATCGGAATTTCGCTAATTAAATAATGTTAATTTTTATGTCTTCATGTCTTCAACATGCTGCAATTATTTAATCATTCTTTTACTTATCAATATTATTGTATTGCAAGCAAAAATTATAAATTTTTCTTAATTTTAAAGTTATACAAATAATTAATTTTCACTTCGCTTTCTTTGATTCAAAACCAAACAAATTTCTTTGTGCAAATTTCCAGTGGCTTCTGTCATAAATTTATTTCGAATAAATTTTAGAAATATTACTTAATTACGACTTACTTATTTATGAAAATTAGTAACTATATATAACATAGTATATATATTTAAGCACACATTTATATAGAAATACTTTAATACCGTATTAATTTTCGTATCTCTTTTCTGCTTTATTTTATTATTATTATTTCTTTTAATTAAAAATATGTGAATTTGGTTTTTACTTTTATTATTTTTTTTTTAGTATTTTTTATTAAAAACAATTTTCCTTAAATTTATGAATTTGCAACAAAAGGTCCTGCCTGTATTTAGTAGTTTTTTTTTGGGAACTTGTGTATTTTATTTTCTTTATTTTAATATTTTTTATTTAAGCGTCTTTCTGTAATAAGAAAAATGTTTGTTTGATAACTTACATACACAACAGTAATTTTAGCGCTTTTAACATTTGGAACTTTCACTTTCATTTTACTTAAGCTTTTGATAATTATTGTAAGCTTTCATTAATTCTTTGAGCTTCGGAACTTTCACTATCAGTTTAATTAAACTTTTGATAATTGTTGTGAGCTTTCATTAATTCTCTGAGCTTTGAAGAACAATTTCTTAAATTACAACTTTTTAACAACTTTATTACCGTTAAATGATATGCTTGCTCGCTTATTTACCGTTATTTTATATATATATGTTAGTTTCAATAAACAAATACTTGCTGTAATAGGGTTTTGCTTGAAATGGAAGTCTTCAATAAACTGTTTGTTGCTATTGCCTGCTATTACAGTTAGTTAGTGGTTTGTGTTCATTAATTTTGGTCCAGCCAAAATACAGTTAATGTTTTACTTTCGCTGTACGCTTATGCGTTTAAATAGTTGCATGCTTTCACATGAATTTTCTGTTTTTCTTTATGATTTCTTCGGGCTTGTGTCGTCTTTTACAGCTAATTGGCATTTGAAAATCGTCAGTGGTGAGTTTGCAAAATTTCTTTTGCTTACTAAATTCGTCGTATTTTGACAAAGTTTGTTATTTTCCACTTCATGGCCTATCATTCTTTTGTGGCATCAATTGCTTGAAGTTACCTCAGCTAAAATTTCTAACATCTGAAAAGAGAAATAAACATCGAGATTTCTATGAAGGGGGGATTTATAAGTTTGTTATAGATTATAGATCCCATATATTGTACAAATAAAGAGAACACGTATAAATAAAAATTTGTGGAACACGTCGAACTATATAAGGCCTAGCTCTAGGCTCTACCTGAATATTTTCTTTACAAATATATGCATTAGTTTTTACTCTCACTTAGCGAGCTAAAGCTTCGCCATAAGATTCGTCCAACCCTTCTCAAAGTGTCTGCCTGAATCTGAAATTCTTATAAAAAAAACTTTTTCTTGGCAGCCAACTATTCTCATATCTCATATCTCATATTTTATAATAGGTAGTGAATAGGTTAGGTGCATTATTTGATGTGCAAAATGAATTAATAATCCAAAGCAAATCAACAAATAATTAGAATAAAATAGGTTATTCTTGGGCACGTTCCAGCATTTAAACATGAAAAAACGTTAACTTCGGTTGCACTGAAGCTATAATACACTTCACAAATACAAAAGATTTCCTAAAAGTACTTGATTCCGATCGTTCAGTTTGTATGGCAGCTTATTGCTATAGTAGTACGTTACTGGCAGTTCCAAGAAATAAGTAGCTTTTTTGGGAGATAATGATGTGTGAGAAATTTCATAGCGATATCTCAAAAATTGAGGGACTACTTCGCGTATATACAGATAGACGGGCATGGCTAAATCGACTCAGCTCGTCATGCTGATCATTTATATATATTTTTTATAGGGTCTCTAAGGCTTTCTTCTGGCTGTTACAAAGTTTATGGCAAACTAAATATAGCCTGTTCAAGGTATAAAAATCCGTTAAAAGCTATAATTCAATTCACTCACTTCTCCTCTCGTGGTTCCGTTTTCGTTTGAGCTGATATAGTTTCAGGCAGGAACAGCACCACAAATCCGCCAAAGAAAGCAAAAGTTGTCAGCAGTGTCATCATGAAATGAATCTCAATTTTATTCTGAAAACAACAAAATACCAACAAAAATCAAATTTAATTGAATTAATACATGAAACAATAAATTCTTAAGTAAAATATGTATGTATGTAAAAGCCACAAATACTCAAGATTAATTGATGATTTAAAAAAATGCGCCAACATTTTTGTGCAACGAAGTGTAGCAAGCAATTTTGATCAGATATACGAGTACGCGCATTAATCACATAACAAGTTCATAGGCTTAAACATATTTTCAATTGAGCGGCGCTATCGACACACCGACCCCCCGCCCCTAAACTTACCAACAACGACAAATATGGCGTGAGTATCAGTGCCGCACCGGCGGCAACATTACAAGCGCCCACGCCCACATTACGAATGGCGGTCGGATAGAGTTCGGCGGTGTAGACCGGCATAATGGTGTTGCCGGCGCTGATGGTGAACTTGCCTGCGAACATAAAGATAGTCAGCTGGAGCATATGTGGCAGCTTGTAAGGCAATGAATCATAAATTTGCGCTAAGTACTCATGTATGAGTGTGTGTGTGGCATTTATGCAATTCAATTAAATTTCGATTGACTTATAACACATACTTATGCGCACACACACTCACACATATGAACCATATATACAATACAAACATTTTGATGGGCATATGCTGGGGCATGCAAAATCACAGCGACAACTCACCAATCATGAGGAATGTAATCTTCAGCCAGAGTTGGTCATCATTGCCCTCTGTAATAGCCGCGCAACAGCAGGCGATGCTTGTGCAGAAGAATGTGGCGCAGAAGAGCCACTTTTTGCCAACCTTTGTGATGATGTACATGGCGATGGCGATGGCGGGGATTTCGACTAGGCCAGCTAAAGCCTATGGTTGTGTGTTGTATTGTTGTTGATATTTTTTGTAATGAAAAGAGAACGAGAAAAAAGCTATGATTGATCGCCATATCGTATTGATTTATTTTTTGTTTTCTTCATATTTATCGATAATTATACAAAAACATTAATATTAACGTATGTAAACAAACATGGGACGAACTTATGGCCTAAAGTAAATATGTTTGTCACATATTTTTTTTTGGTTAATATGCCGAATTAGCGTTTACGAGCGTTTGGCGTTCATATTTTACAACATTGTGTTGCCAGTCAGTGACACTTATGTAGCTACATATGTCTATGCCTTACTAAAGAAATTTGGCTTAGCGCCAGCAAGCAATGTTCTCGTAGACAGACAAGATCAGGGAAACGCATGTTTAAAAGCTTAATGATCTGTTAATTTCGATCACATCGAACTGTTGATACAAAGTACAGTGAAGCATGGATATATAAATCAGCTTGAAATTTCATTATTAATTCATTTTTCAAATTAAATTTGAGTTGCTAAAGAGACATTTCTGTTAAAATAAGTAATGTTTAGCACGATTACTTTACATTAATAAAAAACTAGATAACTTGATGGAGGGTGATAAACTTTAGTACCTGGTATATTTATTTTAATAAAATATGTAAGCATATATTAACTTTGCCAAGAAGTTTGTAACATCAAGAAGGAAACGTCGGTGACCAGCATAAATGTGTATATAATGATCTTTATCTAAATATTGAACGATCAGTTTGAATGGCAGCTGTTTGCTATAGTGGTCTGATCTAAACAATTTGTTCGGAGATTATTGCGTTGCCTTGGACAATAATTTATGCCAATTTAGGTTGCACCGAAGCTATAATACACTTCACAAATACAAAAAATATTTTATAGAAGCTTGCATCGGAAAGTTTGTATGGCAGCTAAAGTGGTCCGATCTGAACAATTTCTTCGGTCATTGCACCATATTTTTGGCAATAACCCATGCCAAATTTTGTGTAGATATTTCATCAAATGAAAAAGTTTTCCATACAAGCACTTGATACCGATAGTTCAGTTTGTATGGCAATGGCAGTTATATGCTATAGTGACACCATTGCCTTAAAAAAGCTCATGCAAATTGACTCAGCCAGTCACGCTGATCATGTATAAATGAAATATGTACTTTATAGAATTTCTGACGTTTCCTTTTAAGTGTTACAAACTTTGTGGCAAATTTAATATATTTTTTGATGGTAAAAAAACTTCAAAGTATTACAACAGTACCATTATTAAAATGCAGCAGCTTAGTGCTCTGTTTCTAGAGGGATAGTCAACTGTCTAGGTATCGCAGGTATCGCAAAAGAGCAAAACATTTATACGAATTTTAAAACAGAGTTTTAGAGAGAGTAAAACAGAGAGAGAGGTCATGATTGTATTAAGAACCAAAGTGGTGAATCAGTTCACAATATTATTTTGATTCACGAGGTTACAGTTAACCTATACATAAACATCAAAATGTTATAGATTTTAGCAGTAAACGAAATGTTTGTAAAAAAGTCTCCGTGTTAAAAATATATGGTGAGCTGTATGTGAATATTTTAGCCCAATAATCATAGAAGTGACTTTTTATATTCAAGAGGGTGGCTGTTAAATGTAGGGAAATAAAAAATATTTTAGAAATTTCAACACCTACGGCGATACTAATGTATTTAAAATTATCTAAAATCAGTTATGGTCCTAATCAATTAATTAAATAAAAGCTTAAAACGTTCAGAATTTTCAATGGAGAGTCATGAACTATTACTATTTCCTTCACGAATTTTCAAAATTTATATCAGTCTATTGTCAAAATAGTGACATATAAAATATGACATGAAAGTCATATGTTTTTTGTTTTTTACTCACTACCTTTCATATAGCCTAGCTTAGTCGTTTGATCAGAATCAAAACTTATACGTATGTGACATCTCTAAGGTTATCATCGAAAGGTTGACACAGAAAAAAATTACTTAATCGATTTCATAACAACCACCCCAGTGCACTAAGCATTAAGTCAGTAAGTTTTCTCATAGCTGAGGTGATAGTTCATGAACTCAATTTAATATATATATAGAATTTTTGAGGTTAGAATGTTTCAGAAAAAAAGTGTATTTCTGTTGTCGCAAGCGGATTTGATGGATGAAATTGTTGAAAAAAAAACTTAATTTGAATTGAATTATTATGGCCAATTTTAGTAATTTTGTTAACCGAATAATAATATTGTATAATAAATTCCTTATTATTTTTTTAAAACGAAATCTAGATGATATTCAACAAATAAGCTTCGTTGAAGGAAATCTTAGTTTCATAATAATAAAAAATTTATTAAAGGTAAACAGTTATTTATAGAATTTAATTTGTAAATGGATAATTCTATCCGAAAGCACAGACACTTTTATTAGTTTAGTGCGAGGTATGGATAAATGTTTTTAAAATTAGTGGCAATATTAGAAGCATTTTGATATGAATAATTTTAATTCTTTAAAATCTCTTCGTTTATCTCTAGATGTAATTTTAATTTAAATTCTAGATGTAATCCAAAAAAATGGTTGCTGTTCGTACAAACATCTACCTGTATTGTTTATCATTTATATTAGCCACAACTAAATCTTTATACACGAAAATTGAGAATATGTAGCAGACTTTTAAGACCGCGTTCATATCCATATTAACCTACTCAAAATATGTTTCGAACTGCTCACCTTGGTGTTTATTCCATTTTCATTGAATTCAATTAAAATTTGCAAAAAAGTGCAACTATTGCAGTTTGCTTGACAGTTAACACAAGAGAAAAAGCTTAAAGCACATTAGCTGCACATGCTTGTGAATTAGATTTTTAATAGGTTTTTTATGTCTACGAATGCAGCTTCACAAGATTTCAATTAGTCAGCTCATGCACCGTCAGTCGGAGGAAATGAGTTTTTCACACTCGAACACATACACATCTTTATTATGAGCAAATGAAATAAGTGAAATGAATTAGTTATGTGCATGTAAGTTGCTAACACTGGTTATTTTATATATTCATAGGTGTTTGCTTTGATTTAATGCGATTGCCTGGTAAAATGCTTTTCACAAGTGCTGGAACTGAGTTTGTTTACCAACACGTCTAGCTTGAAGTATAATTACTTAATTTTGTCTTCTTTTTATTTACTTTTTATTTTCGACATCGCTTTGAGAAAGAAAAACGATTGCAGGCTGCTTATACGACGTATCGCTCCACCCTTTATATTCTGGTATCTAACCGCATATAAATATTATATATTCTCAAGCCTATAAAATATGTTTTCTTCTCAAGCCTATAAAATATGTTATTTTTGAATTAACATTCGAATATATTTTATTTGAAGAATATATTATTTTGAAAACTTTAGTAGAATCACTTAAGAATTTGTTTTCGATAAGTGTAATTTTTTACCAAACTATCAAAGCTTTTATAGTTTATGTATTCATCTCTATATTTGATTACACCCAATTTTCCAAAAGTTATTAATATAAAGCTTTGTCATTATCTAACATATTCCAGTAAAGCAGAATCAATAAATATTTTTTGTTTGCATTCGAATATTTCTACTACTACTATTTACCTTAACTAAAAATAATAAATTTAATTAATTTGTTGTAATATTACATTTATCAACTCACCGAATTCAAATAAACATTTCCGCCAAACGAACTCATATTCAGTATGAGGCCATAGTAAACCAGATTCATGGTAAACCAAATGCAAAGAAAGCAAATTGTCACACAGCGCAGATATCCCGAATTGAAGAGGCTGATGCAATTTTGTGATGAGTCTTCTTGCGGTGGTGGTTTCAACATGGACTCATAGTCTGGTGGTAATTGCCGGCCATTGAATTTAGCGGCACGCTCGACTATACTCTTCACATCGGCAATGCGTCCTTTGACCAAAAGCCAGCGTGGAGATTCGGGCACGACGAACCTGCAATGATAATGAAATATGTAGAGTAAATCACTTTGATTTTTCGATGGTTTTTGTTATGAAATTTCGTGCTGATAAATTTAATTTTATTGTATTATTTTTTAAAAATATTATTATTTAGTTTAATGCAGTCACAAATAATATGTTTTTGTGAAAAACGAGACGATTTTTGGATATGTCTTTCTATCTTTTAGCACATCTACCTACTGGTAAAGTTAATATAAAAGCTTCTACAGCTGGACGTATTTGAAGCATTGCCACGCCCACAAAATTGTATTTCTAGAGAGATTGCGAGCTTGGTTTATGTCTTTGCTAACCTCACATATAATTTGTAGTTTGTAATTATCGATCGAGTATTTGTCATCATCTTAAAGAATCTGCTGTTGTGCTTTTTTTTTTTTGAGATAAATTCGATTTTTGTAGATAAATTCGATTGAGGATTTCTCCTTAAAAGTAACAATGATATTATACCAGGAGACAGTGTAATCTGTGGTAGCTAAATCTTCATCATTGCCGAATATAATACTAGATCTAGCCGAATCGTGAAAACATCGGCCATAGCATCTGTGACATAACCGGTTGCTGGATCGCAAATGATCGTCAAAAATCATTGACAAATTTGAGTATCTTCACTTCAAAATATTTCGAACATTCAGTGCAACCAAGTGAGTCTACTTCGGTTAAATTCGTTGTTCAGGAGTTGCGCTTGATCGGCATTGAGAATTTATTCCTCAATTATAAACCAAGACCATATCTTCTACACAAATTAAAGGATATGGACCGGGAGATATTATAAATTTGTCATCGGCTCAAAGCGCTTTGTCAAGGTCTTATGATCTATTATATAGAAGTTTTAGGTAACACAGCGGACCGGCGTTCTAAGCTGTCCAAGTGAGATACCTATTAGTATCGACCTCTTGATCTAACGCTATCGCAACATACAGATAACTCTTATGAATGTATATATATACATTATATATACTATGGTATCAAAAATATCGGACCAATTGTATTAATTTTAGTAAAATTTACTCTATCCCCAGCTAGGGGAATAATATTTAGCAGCTGCATTCAGCTAGCTTTGGTGAATATATATCACAGATTTAAGCCAAATCGGACCATTTTACTCAGGCGACAGCTGTCGGAATCTTGTGTGTCTATAATCTTCTCAGAGTTCAGGTGTAAATTTATTTTATTACATTAGAATTTTTTTATGAACAATTTATGATTTTTTTTATTAAATTTAAAAATAATATATTCTCATAGGCATTTTAATGATATTACACATACAAAATTTGATTGACCAATTTAAAACTGAACAAGAAAAAATCAACGCTTCAATAAATTTTCCAATATCACACCAATAATTTCACTTTCAATTTGCAAAGACAGCAGATGAGATTTTTCGAACTATTTATTTTCTTTTGTTATTGTTTTTATCGCAGTCTGTTTTCATAGATGCGCAGTTTAACGATAAGAAATGAAAAAAATATATATATTAATTCGATCGACGCCCACACTTGAAGCATAAATAAAAAGTAATAAAAATCACACGTCTACGTGAGGAAAATCAGTTGATACTACAAACATACAAATGCTTTCATGTGAATCTAAACATATTTTGACTAGCAAATTTAAACTTCCCGAGTGTTTAATTGTTTCAAACAAAATCAAACTGTCAGTTTCCATTAAGCTTTGACACTCTTGCAACATGTTGCTACAGAGCATAATAGTTTTGTTCACCTAACGGTTGTTTCTATCACTTAAATCTAATCGAGATAGATATATCGTTATATATATATAAATGCTCGGGGTGACGAGATGATTTGAAATCAGGGAAATTAGTATACGAATTACCAGAACTCATACACATAAATAATACATATATGGATTTTATTTTATTTATTCTTATGCCGAACATGTCATTCAATATGTCAGTTATATACCGAACTTATGCCGAACATGTTATTCAATATGTCAGGTATTTATAAAATTGATTGAAAATATGATCTCAAGTAGACCTCAGCACACACATTTCAAAATTAACACAATTAGCGAATCCCTTTCTCTACCCCCAATATAACCTGTATAATAAATTCCGAATTTCCACCTGACAAAATGTGTGATACTTTAATAAAATTAAATTAACAAGTTTTCTTAAAAAATGTGTCGGAATATAAATTAAATTGGTCCAAACCTTATATCCCTAGAATTGCGTTACTCTGGTTGACGTTTTCACATCAACTCATTATATTAAATTTTAGCTTCTTCATTTCGCAACATTTTTTAATATAAATTTCTCCTAACACCTAAGGGTGTTTTCCCTGCTTAGATCCTTATAAGTTGCAAGAGTATAAAATGTTCGGTTACACCCGAATTTAGTCTTTCCTTACTTGTTTTTTTTTTAAATACCGTTAAGATGATACTTACCATAGAAAGCAAAGAAATATTCCCGGTAGGCCGATGCACAGTTGTAACCGTTGATAGTCCTGCGTCAGATAGGCGATGCCAGCGATTAACATGTACGATATTGGCAGTGGAAATAAATTGTACATGCCGGCTATGGTACGCCATTTGCCATCAACATACTCAATGGCCAAAATGAGACCCGCATATGTGACGGACACGGAGACTAAGCCTAGTAGGGCGCGAAGTAGCAGAAACATTTCTAAAGATTTTGGGAAGTAGAGCACCAAGCCTTTTGGAAAAAGAGTGAGGATTGTGTTATGTTTATTGTTTATAATCGCTATGAAATATACTTTTTGTTAAATTAATGAAATATTACAAAAAAAGGCAAGTTTGGAAAAGTCAAAATTCAAAATAAAAAAACATAATTTTTAATTTATATTTATTTTTAAAACGGTTTCTACAAATATGGTCAAAATAAGCAAATGAGCGGGTTATTACGAAAACACCCTGTGGTTAAGTTTGGATTACTTGTTTAATATATATCTGATCCATTCTTAATTCATGAGTGATATATTTTTTCTTAGGGTATTTTCTTCTAGGAATATTTTGGGTTTGAAGTAATTTTACCGTAAACCGTGGTCAAAAGTTGGCAAACCTCCTTAAAAACTAATTTTCACTCTAAGCTTTCTTAACCTCTTCAACTTTGAACCCATTTCGTAGTTATTCGTTTATCTCTCTCTCCCTATGCTCCAATATTTCTAAAAATGCATACTTTCAACTATAAGCTTTTTGAAGCCTTTTTGGTTTATTACCGATATTATGATGCATTTTTTATATGACATTTGCAATTAGGTCCGTCCGTCTTTAACAAACATATGTTTTCGAAAAGACATCTTGAAGCGAATTGAGATCAAGTTGATGGTCTAACTACTAGTTACAGTGTACCTTTTTGTATGTCCCTTGGTTTCTGAGACGGAAGCTCCCTACAGAAAATGGGATACATACATACACTCTTCAAGTTCTGCATTCGGAACGAGTTTAACCTGTAGGGTGTCATCTATAAAGAGAGATATATTTTTTTAAATAAAACAAGAAAAAACATTAACTTAAGTTGCATCAAAGCTATCACACCCTTCACAAGTACAAAAGATTACTCAAAAGAATTTGATTCCGATTGTTAAGTTTGTGTGGTAGCTTATGATATTGTGATCCGATCTGAACCATTTCTTCGGAGCATGCACCATTGTTTTAGACAATATTCCATGCCAAATTTCTTCAAGATATCTCGACATATGAGAAAGCTTTCCATAGAAGCACTTTATTGAGATCGTTCAGTTTGTATGGCAGCTATATGTTATCCTTGTCCGATATCGACTGTTCCGACAAATGAGCAGCTTCTTGGTGAGAAATGAAATTGTGCAAAATTTCAGATCGATCGGGGGTTCGGAATTCGGTAAAAAAAATCGAAAGCAACATGGGTGTTGCATAGAACTTCCAAACTATTTGAATATATTCATGGGTAAGCGTTGCTTTGTTTGAAATGAAAAATCAATCTGAAAATCCTTCCCCATTGTGTATATTATCTTGTGCTTGCAATTAAATTTCAACATTGTAAACTTGAAGTTGACTTTGACATTTACCACTGTCCAATGTCAGCTTAGCACCTAAAATCACAAATGTAATGCAACAATGAACAAGTGTTTGTAAAGACAACAACTACAATGCTAAACACCTCAACAATGGCTATTGATTGTGGCTACAACTGGTAGGAATTGACACTGAACTTGACATTCAATGCAGCCACTCTAACAAGACTGCCAATCAAATAAGCCATTAACTCAAGCGGGTGTATGCGTGTATGTGTACATTACAAACACATACATACTGCATGCTGCATTCACTTTTGATTGTGTTGATTGAGTTGGCAACTGTTGCCGGTGTTTGGACACCATCAACAAAAGGCGTTAGCAATTATCGAACCAATGACTTCAAGTGGCTGCAGCAATGCATACAAGTGCATACGAGTATTTGCTGTTGTCTATGCATGAATGAAAGTGCACAAATGGCAGCAGGGTTCAAGTAAAACCTTGGCATGTTTGTGTAAAAAAAAACTCTCTGAAATTTAAAGCATATTCTCTTTTATGAAAATCTCCGTACATTCACGTTCTTCTATCGGTTTTCACATGAGAAATTACTAGTTCCAATCTTCTTCTGTGTTGCGAGAAAAATAGTGAGATAAGATAGTTGCAGTATCAAGACTAAACTTAGATACGAGCCCTGTGTCAACGATTGCACGTTCAGGGTATTTGAAGGATTATAGGCAACCTAGATGTTTCCCGGCAGAAAGAGAAAGGATGCAAGTTCCACACATGGAGGTATTTCTTTCTATGTTCTTGTAATTTTGCCAGTACTTTTAATGTTACGAAGGACGAGGAATGTATAGAATCCTATGTCAGCTAGTTCTATGTCCGCTAACAATTTTTAAGCTTTACAGATTGACGCTGATCTGGTTTGCAGCTAATGAATATGTTATAGTTTCAGGTGTGTAGTAATAGGATTAGAAGCCGTGGTTTTCAACCGACTTAGGTAGTACCTGGAACAAATACAACCATTGCTTCATTAACAGGCAGTCAGCAGGTTCAATTTAACTGTACCTCCTCTTGTTTTCTACTCTCTGAAAATGGCATTCAACCACTTAAAATGTGCGAGCTATGGGTTCATAATCTAAGCTAACAGCTAGCTATAGCTAAAACAGGAAAAAAGCAAATTTTTGCAACAAAGAAAAGAGATCTTTAGTTCGAATTTCTAAAATAATTTCTCTATTTATATATTTGCTATTTTAAGAAAGCTTTAAGCGGCTACTAAGCTTTTACTAGAACTATTTTTTTTAAAAGAATTTTCCTGGACTGACTATTGGACTCATAAATTAAGCTTTTTTTTTGCAAGTCTTCGAATTCCCTTTTAATGAAATTTGTCTACATTATTCCTGTTAAGGCATTTTAATATAAATATTTGTTGCCTTTTGTTGGCACACACTTACCGAATATCGTCTGCAGCACAGCAGATACGAAGAGCATCTTCTTGCGGCCGAATTTATCCGACAAATAGCCCGACAGTATACCACCTGTTGCCACACCCAACAGAAAGAACATCTCCGCCACATTCTTAATGTACTCCTTGTCGCAGACCAAATCCCACTGTGAAGTCCATGTGTTGCCCAAATTATCATTGGCATCGTATTCCCAAGCGGTACAGGGTATGCGTGTGTCATTCTGCACCACTGCCAGTGGTGAAAGTAGATAATTTTGAAATGCCGACACCGCCGAAGCGTCGTGTGGTAAACTGTCTTGTGATTGCTGTTGTTGGCGTATCAGTTGTTGCAATGCTGGCTAGTGTATGTGGATGCGAGGGCATGCAACGTGGTCACATGGCATGCAACAGTGCGCAGTTAGGTTGATGACAGCGGACAGAAATTGAAAAAGAGAGAGAGCGAGAGGAAGAGTAGGGATTAAATTGTCGAATTTGTAGAAATTTCACGCTCGGCTGGGCTACGCGTCTAGAATGCAACAAAAGCAGAAGACACGCACATGCACAAGGTGCCTACAGTGGCATGAATGGGGGTCATATGGCAAAGTATGGCTGCGGCAATTTTGGCAATTTGCAGCTAATGCTCTCGTCTTGTGGCAGCCGTGTACGTTGTGCTGTGTTTTCGGTGTTGTTGTTTTAATATTTACCTGCAGCTGCAAGCTGTCGTTGCCCACTTGACTCCAGTCAGTCTTCGCCTGAAAGCAATTGTCCTGCGAATCGCTTAGATTGCGCCACACATCTACCGGCAGATTTTGCAAATGCGGCGGTCGGCTGCACCAGAAGTTTTTGTTGATCGCCTGCAGCGAAACATTTGTGGGAAAATTGTTGAGAAAGCATATATGTAATACCCTTCACATGTGAATTTTTTATAACAGAAAAGTGTATAAAAATATCTGTATCATGATTATAACCCAGCTGTTTGTGTGGCAGCTGTATGCTATAGTGCTCCGATCTCAACAATTTATTCAGAGATTGTTGCGCTGTCTTCGACAATAATCAATGCCGAAGTTCGTGAAGAGATCTTGTCAAAGAAAAAATTATCAATCAGTTTGTGTGGTAGCTATATGCTATAATGGTTCGGGATTGGCGATTTTTTGGAAGAAAAGGACGTGTGCAAAATTTCAGATCGATATCTTAAATTTGAAGGATTAGTTGGCCTATATACCTACAGGGTATAAAAAGTCAAAAAAATTAGCATTTTATTAAAATTTTCACTCAAAACCCACTCAGCTACGCCACTCATCAAACTTTGCGCTCACTATATCAACACCTGCTAACTCACCTGATAAACGGACGACGATATGTGAAATGTATTGGGCACCTGAAACAGCGACAACAGCATTGTCATCAGACATTGCCACTTGCCGAAATGCCCTACCAAATCGCCAATGACATCGGTTTCATCCTCACCATTGCTGCTCGTGCTTATGTGTGGTTCCCGTCGCGTGGTTGGCGCTGTTGCTAGCGGTGAGGGGCCATTATTGGCGGTGATCGTGCCGCTGTTTGCTCTAGCGTTTGTCACTGTTGCCGTCGTGTTCGTCGTTGTATTGGCAGGTGGCGCTTCGCTCGTTGCTGTGTTGTTGATCTCATTGGAATTAGAATTTTTACGTTTTGCCGTCATTTGTTTGTGTGATTTGTGCAGCGGTTGTTGTTGATATTGTTGTGGTGACGTTTGCGCTTGTAACGTCACAGTTGTTATTGCTGGTGTTAATTTACAGTCATTAGCTGTGTGTGTAAGCGTTGGGGACGGTTTTTTATGGTTTTGTTGATTACCAAATGGTGTTGCTGCAATTAGAATGAGAACGAATTATAAAGATGAGATAGTTATATAGTTAAATTTAGAATGGGAATCTAATCTGCGTTTTGCAACTATCAGTATAGAGCTAATGGTATTCAAATTATTGGAAACTTAAATACAAAATTCGGATATTAAAATATAATATTTGGATAAACGGAAGTATCTTCACGATTTATTTTAAACAATAATAGGTAAGAAAGGGTTAAGTTCGGTAGTATCCAAACTTTATATACTCTATTTAGGTATATGACGTCTAGGGTTGTTCGCGAATCTATCTGATAATTGTCCAGAGATAATACGTTCAGTTAATTGTTTCAAGATATCATACATACTAACCATACATACGGTATAAAGTCAACATTAGGTATATGGCGGCTAAGTTAATTATTGAACCGATTTTATTCAATGTTTAGCACCAGTTCAAACTGATAGGGGGAATGATTAAACTTAATTTCAGTAGGATTTATTTTGATTGACCGATAACTTCAGCTATGGGTATATTGGACGCAGCGCGCGATGCGAGCTAAGATTTGCACGATTTGCAAGCGTTGTTCCGGAGAAAGTCTATTCACTATGAAATGGCAAATCAGAACTGAGTCAAGCAACAGCTGGCAAAAAAGACCAACTCCGAAAAAAGTATTGTTTCATTGAAAACCACGCTCTAAACACCACCGTTAGATCACAGTTGACTCAAACATTTGGTCTCTAAAGACTTAAATAAATTCTAGCAAAAAGTAGTAAGTCTTTAAAAGAAAAGAAAAAGGTTTAAGCATCGTCTTTTTTGTGTTTTTTTGTTAGTGGAAAGTACGGAAGTTCAAGGTGGCAACCAATGGGATATACCAATGGCATGTGCTTTAGTTATTTGACGAACTTTTTTGTTTTCTTCCTTTTCTAATTAATTAAGCATTCCAATGATTTCATTTATAAATTTTTCATGCATTATTTTCTTTATCTTTCCTGATTTCATGTTATTGTTGTTGCTTTTTTTAAATGATTGCGCTACGCTTAAGAGTAAACTGATTCGCATTAGTAAGGCCAAATTTTGCAAGCAGTCACTGAACTGAAATTGGCCTTTGACCCCTCTACAATTCTTCTTTCCTACTATTCTACGAATTTTCGTACATATGTTTGTTGTGATTTGCCTTTGACCACATTCAGTAGCAGGACTTTTTGTTGCTGATTTATTGCTTTATTTATTTATTTCTTGTTTGTTTTTGTTAAATTGTTTGTTGCTTCAAGGCATTTCTGGGTGATACATACAAATATCTTCGGATCTGCTTTCGAAATAAGATGGCCATAGGTGATTTTTACCGTTGAATTGGCAATTTTTATGTACAAATACCTATGAATGTGTGTGCTTTGCGTACGTTCAATGCCTTCTTGACTTATGTAAACGAATTGGTTAAACTTGTACACGCTCGTTTGAACTTTTCTCTACATGTTGTAATTTTAGTTGTATGTGAGTGTCAATAAGTACATATAGGCAGTAAAAAGATTGTATATATAAAGAAGGGTGGCACTTAAATGTTAACATAAGGTATGTACATATGTACAACGTATTGCCTAACCCCCTACAGCTTTAATTCTACTATAGACGAAGGTATTATATATAAATGTTTGATGTTATTGGAGGCAACGATTGAAAATCATAATTGGTTCAGATACTAGTATAGATAGGTAGCTAAGGTGGACGTCTGACGACGTACCAAGGCCTTTAGATGTTAGTATAACAAAATATGAAATTAATTTTCCTACGAACACTTCAAATAAAAATATTTCATGCTTTATGTCCAATATATGGATGTCGAAATATATTTTTGGTCTATTCTGAGCACGCTTGAAGCTTGATTTTGGTGCTTGGGTCATCACATCACATTTTGATTTTTTTTTCGCATGCTTGGATTTTGTTAAGTTTGTCTTCGATTCGTCAAACCTTTGAAAATGATGAATCAAACGAACAACTGGTATAAATTGGAAAGACAAGCACATAGAATAGTGAGTGCCTAAAATACGTTAATCAAGTATCGACATACCCACTGGCAATGAAATCCAATGAATTATAACTATCAAAAAGGTGCGTTATCGAAGGCAGATATTAATTCTTAACTTCTTTGCACGCTCCTCCGATGGAAGCTAGTTTAAAAGCATTAAAATGCAGTTTTATATACTTATAAATGATATGATGAATATTAGACTCTTTTGGTGTTTCATGATGGACCAAAAAGGACAAAAGTAGCTCACAAAAGAATTCGAAGCCAATGACATATTATCACTGTCAAAAACTACGAAGTTCGAAAATAATTGAGCAATCTACGAAATAAAAAGAGTTTAGATGGATCATTAGTACTTTCGGTTTCCTTAAACGTGGTATTTGTGTAATGGATTATCTCGATCTTCTTAGTTTTGTAAATCGTTTAGGCATAGCCATATCCCGCTTAAGTGCTTTTGCAATAACATAGGCGATAAAAATGTGCTACTTAGCCTTAAAAATAATAAAAGTAACCAAAAGTGCTACACAGCGCCGCCTATAGGCATAAAATACTTTGGGGAGTTTGTGGCGAAAATTTTAATGCGATGTGTTGTTAATATTTTTCAGAATTTTTCAGCTCACTGCAACTCCAACTTCATGTATTATAAACTCAAGAGAAAATTCCAAGGAAATTAAATGCATCCTTCAATACGCGAATCCATTTCTCAAAATTTGTTTTATCATTTAATTGACTTAACGGCGAAACTTCATTGGAAAAGCTCTTAAAAAGCACACTGTATAACTTGACACTGTGTAGGATTGTATACATGTTTGTACATACATATGTATTTATTTATTTATGCTGTCCGGCACTCACACAGACAGTCAGCTCTGATTGTGTTTACTTCTTATTTACTATTCCGTTTTTCGGCTTTTATGCGCGTCAGTAAATGCGAAAAGTTTCCCAATTCGACGAAAAAATAGCATACAAATAAATAAAAAACATTACGCTTGCAAACCTGTCTGTGTATGTATGTGTGCAGACTTTGTCGTTTGGTGTTAGAAAGTTGCTCGTAATCCTTCTGTTAGTTCTCTAATCCTTTTAAGCAGACTTCAGTTGCTACAATAACAAAAGAAAACCGTGCAGCCCTACTGCTTTTGTATTTTTTTTTCCAATTTTTATACCCTGAACAGGGTATATAAGTTTGCATGTATTTTGTAACACATGACGAGCTAAGTGGATTTATCCATGTCCGTCTGTCTGTATAGACGCGAACTAGTCCCTCAGTTTTTATGATATCGACCTAAATTTTGCAAACGTCTTTTCCCCCCCAAAGCTGCCATACAAACTAAACGATTGGAATAAAGTTTTTGATTATAAAACTTTTCCATTTGTTGAGATATCTTTACCAAATTCAACATGGGTTATTCAGATCAAGTACCTATCGCATATAGCTGTCATACACACTGATCGATCAGAGTTCTTGTAAGGAATTTTTGTGACAGGTATTATAGCTTCGGTGCAAGTGAAGTTGACATTTTTTCTAGTTTCTTTTGTTTTTGGTTTCGCCATCAGTTTAGTCGGTAGTGCTTATTTTGCTGATACTGCTCATAGCAGTAAGTGTATAAAAAGCTTAGAGTAATTTAATTTGTACTAATCTAGCATTAGCAGTGATTCACTGACACATTACTGTTAGTTCGAGTGTTTACATGTGTATGTATACCATACATAAGGGTCTGATATGTGTCCAGCATTATGAACAAAAGAGTTGAATAAGCAATGAAATGAAAATAACGCTATCAAATCCAGGAAGAGCAAATAAAAAATACACGCTCGTAAGCCAACTTCACTAAGAGTTCGCTAAATTAATTAAAGTTTCGCTGAACTTTGTTTGTTGTGCATACAAAGAAGATTCATGCTATGTTACAATTAAGAGTGGAGAATAGTAAATCTATTATTTATATTATTTATTTAACGCCACACAATACTATTGCTAATTGTTATTAAATATGCTTTGTACATTTACTCATTTATGCTATACTTTATTGAGAGTAAGACTGTGTAAGTAAAGACCTTTGTAGCTCTTTCTTCCAGAAAATTATATTCATTTTGTGCTAGAGTGTTTTTTTTAATTCTTGGCAAACAGCAATCGGGAAAAGACACCGCTAATGAAAGACTGTTGAGAAGCTCTTAATAAATGCTTCAATAGATTTACTCCATGTGCAATCAATTCATTTAAGTCGTCTTCGATTCGCCATTTCGCTGTTCGCTTAATTTCAGCTCTGCCCTTTTTTTATGACATTTACAAAATAAAATTTCTCCACGGAAAGAAATAAAAGATCTTATTAACGTGGTGTAACAGGTTTTTACTCTCTATTAATTTGATTTTTCGAAAATGTTAGACCTATACCAGTTGTTTGTTCGACTCGTCACTCTTTTAGGTTTGGCGAAACGAACATTGTTTACAAAATTTTTTTTTTTACATCTTAGTCTACTCACAAACTCCGAGTATAAAATTATAAAATGTTTTTTGACTCTTCTTTAACTTTACTTTTCTTGAAGTTAAAACTCAGATTCGCAACAAAATTGGACTGCAAGATTGAACATTTCTTTCACCGTTTGAAAAATATGTCCTAATATTTATGAAGAGCTATCATAGACACACTTTAAGTTCGGATTTGTGAAAAAATATTTCTTTATTTTCATTTGAACGTAAAGCTCTTTCGCAGCCCTTCTAGTCTAAATAAAGAGATATTTTCGTGTACTTATATATAAATCTGCCTATGTTGCTACAGAGTATACTAGTTTTGTTTACCTAACGGTTGTTTGCATCACGTAAACATAGTCGAGATATATATGTAGTTATAAATATACACATGTTTCTTGGTACCGTACGGTAAACGGTTGGTGTGGCAGATGAGCATAATCGGACGACTGCCACGCCTACAAAACGCCATTAAACGAAAATTTATAAAGTGCTATAACTAAACAGTAAATTAAGATATAAAACTGTAATT